GTGTGTGTGTGTGTGTGTGTGTGTGTGTGTGTGTCAGCAAAGCGGAGACAAATCGCTGTAACTAATACGCAACAGAACTGAGTGACTCAGCTGGCGAGGCCCTTCCATCAGAGCAGAAACAGACCGACGGACCGTCAACGCTGTTGGCGTGTTTGGTTCAAACGGGCCAGCCTGTTTTAACTGACATGTCGTGATAAAATACAGATAACATCTTGACCTGTGGGTCGTTTTTAAAAGGACTTTTAAAAGTTCTTCTCTTTAAAAAAATCTACAAAAAATGTCCTTTCTCTTTTGTTTCATCTTAAACCCTAGGTGTTTTTGAGCCTCTGTGTTTTTATTTTGTGTCATAACCCTAAAATTATCCCTCAAAGTCTCCTAAATGTAATGCTTTTTTGTTGAAAACTTGTAAATAGCCTTGTAATTACCAGACAAACTTGACACTGAACTCACGTTGAAGCTTGGAAGTATATAAWGAAATATAACCAAACACAGACACAAATCCTGGACCGATTTACTTGACTTCTAACAACTGATTTGACACAGAATAAAAGCTCTAATAGATCCAAACATTTGTTTCCATGTGGTGTTTTTTTCTCTCCAAGTCAGTCAAACACATGCAAGCACATGTTCTGGTGTTACCTCCATATACTGTGTTCTTGTGATGAAATTTACATTGTTTTTTTTTTTTTAGTGATGCACAGACTTTTCCAAAACCCTGTCAGTGAGTCACGGTTGTGGCTGTGAGTAGAGGATTGGGTAAGACTGTATCTCTGCTCTAAACCAAAGTTTTAACAGACTGTTCTAAACAATAACAAATATCAAGCTTCCCTATGTTAATAAAAAAATATGGGAAGCAAAATCTAGTGAAATAAAATTGCTTATATAGTTATCACATAAATTAATGATAATGCAAAAAAAAAGTTAAAGATTAAAGTTAAAGTCTGTTATGTAAATATGAAAATAAATTAGAGATCTGGAGGAAAAATGAAAACTGGAGAAATTCTTGCTGAGATGATAGTTACCAACAGGATTGTCTATTTTAAAGTTTGGTCGTTAAATGACTCTTTTTAATTTTCCAGCTATGGTAGCATAGGTAGCAATGGTTAATTGATTGCTGCAAATGGGCACTTTGACTAACTTGTGTACAATTACTGTATTTAACAGGTTCATATGTTGAAAACCGTGTATATGTCATTATCAAATGTCAATAAGTCCAAACCTACGTTCTCGAGTACCTATTCTCTTCCAGGGTTAACAATGAAAATAATGAAAGATCCTTGGTTTCCCCTTTAAATGTATTTCTAAACAAATATTKTACTGGGGAACATAGGCATGGGTGTATATGAGGGAGCTTAATCTCAAGAACATAGGAACCAGAGAACGTAAGGATGAGTGCACCAGAGGGAAAATACCAGGAAACATAGAAATGACCCAAAATGAACAGTAATAGACAAACGTACACGCGTTGAGTGAGCTTATTTTAAATCACTTATCCAGGACATGGTTACAAAAATAACAGTCTTCTTCTCTCTTAATCTTTTCCAGCTCTTCCATCAAGATTCCAAGAGGTTTCCAAGCCAGCTGTGAGATACAATCTCCTCGTTGAGTTGATGTATATGAACTACACAAGCCTCATGCCATGCGCTAGCTAGGCTCTCTACACATATCAGAGATCAGAGTCTAGTTTCACTGCCAATGTTTGTAGAAAAAACAGGGAAGAAAAAATAGTACGTTAGCGCTCTTTTTGTTTATTTTTCAAATTTTATTTCACACAAGTTTTTGACCACGACTGGTAGCGATTAATGAAGATGTTCAAGATTTATCTGGACCATCCCTATATTTTCTAGTGCCTATGTTCACTGGTACGATGCCTGAACTGTAATTTTGTAATTTTTAAATTTATTTTAGACAGTTGAAGGGAGAGCCAAACATCTTTCATGACTTTGATTATTGACCTCAGGAGAGCACAGGTACAAGGAAACAGCTATACCGGGTAACATAGGTAACGGGGAACATAGACACCGGAAAACACAGATACCGGGGAACCATAAGTAACGGGAAACATACAGTAGGTACAGGGGAACACAAGCACTGGGGAATATAGGTACCAGAAAACACAGATACCAGAGAACATAATAACAAGGAAACATTTACAGTAAGTACTGGGAAATATAGGTACCAGTGAACATAGAYGCCGAGGAACATAAGTATCAGGGAACAATAAGTAGTACAGGAAAACCTTAGTGTCGGAAAATACAGATACTGGGGAACATAAGTACTGGGAATAGGCATGTACTCATCATTTGATAACGTATCATATTATTCAACATACATCTAACAAGTTAAACTACAAAGAGCAACAATCAGCAAGGAAAYAATTCTAAAACATCATGATGTGTTCCTTTAAGATACACATTCATCGAGTCCTTTCAGGACTTTCTCTTCTTGTCTAAGTTTTTGTTCTCTAATATTTTAAAGTACGTCCGTGTGTCTCCGCCTCACCATGACCATCGCTGTATGAGTGTCCATTTTTGCTTTACTTTGAGGCACTTTGGCTTCATTTTCACCCCATGATGCCCTTTTTTCATCTGCTACAATCCGACCCTTTCATGCTTCCCTCAAATTCCCTCGGCCACCCCCGCGTTCCCTCCATCTTTTTCCATCTGTCTTTTGCCTTCCCTTCTCTTCCTCTCGTCTGTTCACCTGCAGTACATAAAAATTCTTCTTTTCTTTCTCCAGAGGATGGCCCAGTCRCTCGGGGATTTACTGCACTCCTCTGTGCTCTCTCCTCCATATTGTTTCYCTGGGTTTTGGCAGAACTACACAGGGTTTGGTTAGGCCTAAATGCCCTTTGTCTTTCTGACACGTTTACATCCCTCTGCAAATCCCTCCATGTTTCCTCTATCCATCCCTTCCTGCCTCTGTAATAACATAAACTAATCCCATACCTGTTGTTTCGGTGACCCCACCCTGAGTTTTTTGTTTTGTTTGGGGTTTATTTACTTATTWTAGGACCTACTCTACCTGCTCCACCTGGCCTCTCCCTCCTGCTGGATTTCTGCCATTGGCTGGAACATCCCGCCTCCACTTAGCTGGAGGGTTCAGGGTAGGGCTGCAGCTTCACAACCCTTCTTTTTTTGTTTTGAGGTTGTAAGGGGGGACCGGGGTTGGAGGGGGGCGCTCCAAAGGCCCGGGGCCTGGGATGAGGCTGATTTATGAGTTAATCAATCGGTCGTCCGTGTGAGYGAGCAAAACCACAGAGGTGTGCGAGCTCTTTCATGTCACTGTCTGTGCCTGTTGACTTAGTCCCTCAGGAAAACACCGTGGGCCGTCACTCCCCGTGTTGTTTGGCTCCTTGACATGTTTTCAAAAGCAATTAGTGAGATAAAGGTGAGGTGGGTGTTCATTCATCAAGTAGCTGAATAGATCGGGTATCTACAGCAGCAAAATGTCAAAGTCTTACAGAAATTCACAGTAAAAAAAACATAAAATATATTATATATTATTATTATACATTTTGGTTAGACCCA